TGCAGATTACTCGTGACAGAGAGGCCAAGAAGTTGTGGTTATCTCAAGAGAAGTATATTGGGAAAATACTTCAGCGGTTTCATATGGATAAAGCTAAAGTGGTAAGTACACCTCTTGCTTTACACTTTAAGCTTAATACTAGACAAGCTCCTTCTAGTGATAAAGAAAAAGGAGAAATGCAACGTATTCCTTATGCATCTGCAGTAGGAAGGTTAATTTATGCAATGGTTTGCACAAGGCCTGATATAGTTCATGCAGTTGGTGTTGTTAGTCGTTTTCTATCCAATCCAGGTAGAGAACATTGGACTGTTGTAAAGTGGATATTGAGATATCTCCGAGGTACTTCTAGTTTAAAACTCTGTTTTGGAATTGGGAAACCTATTCTTTGTAATTATACAGATTCAGACATGGCTGGGGATGTTGGTTCTAAAAAGTCTACTTATGGCTATTTGATTACCTTTGCAGGGGGAGCTGTGGCCTGGCAGTCTAGGTTGCAGAAGTGTGTTGCATTGTCTACGACTGAGGCTGAGTTCATCGCTATTACTGAAGAATGCAAGGAGTTGTTGTGGATGAAAAAGTTTGTGCATGAACTTGGTTTCACTCAACAGAGGTATGTTTTATATTGTAATAGTCAGAGTGCTATTCATCTTGGTAAGAATCCAACATTTAATAATAGATCAAAGCATATTGATGTAAGATATCATTGGATTCGAAATGTTTTGAACTCCACGTTGATTGAACTTGAAAAGATTCACACTAACAAAAATGTTGCTGACATGATGACAAAAGTGGTGCCTCTAGAGAAGCTTGAACTATGTGCCGGAGCAGCCGGCCTTAAATTTGCATAGTTGCCTTTTTTTTTTTGAAGTGTCTCCCTTCTCTCATGGGCTGGAGGGAGAGAACTGTTGGGTCCAGGCCATTATGGGATATTGACCCATGTTATAACCCACTCTCCTTCAACCCACTGTTTTTGTTTTTTCAAAAAGAAAAACAAAAAAAACTAGGGTTAGACCTTTTTGCGCGCGGCGTGTTGAAGAGAGAGAGAGAAATCGAAATACTGTGCAGATTTTTCAGTGCACAGAGTTCATCAAACGGCTGGAAATTTCCGATCCAGCTAAAATTTGGACAGAAGTGGAGGACTCATTTTTCCTCATTTTGAACAATCAGATCTTTGATCGGAGCTCTGAATCGCAGGTTATTTGAGGTCGAACAGAAGCAACTCGTAGTTAGTCGGGAAAAGAAAACATCTCATGACAGTCTTCATCAATTACTCTGATCAAGGGTCATTTGTGATCCGATTTGGCTGAAATTTGGTTGGGTCTCCTTGGCCCCGTGGTTTTTACCCTTTACATTGGAGGGGTTTTCCACGTTAAATATCGTGTGCCTCTCTTTGCTTGGCTTATGATTATTTTTGTTGATATCTTGCTTGGAATTGTGCTAGCTGAATATCTACAAGTTTTTTAATTTTTGGGAGAGAAATAGTTTGTGGATAAACTTAGTTTATTCCCAACACGTGGTCTCTTTAGGCAAGCTCAGGGGAATTAAGTTCATGAGCATCTTTAGATTCAAAGTCTTGTGGACGACGCATTGGGTGGGAGACAAAGGCAGTGACGTCAAACACGAGACCCAGATCATGATTTTGGACAAGTTGGACTTCGGTCATCCTTATGTTCTGCTACTTCCCCTCATTGAAGGGTCATTCCGTGCTTCTCTCCAACTAGGCGACGACGACAACTTGGACATTTGCGTAGAGAGTGAGTCGACACAAGTGACAAGCTCAAGCTTCAGGAGCTCACTGGACATGCATGTCGGAGATGATCCATATAGTCTTGTTAAAGACACAATGAAGTTGGTGAGGGTTCACCTAGGAACCTTCATACTCCTGGACGAGAAGACTCCTCCAGGAATAGTAGACAAGTTTGGTTGGTGCACCTGGGACGCCTTTTATCTTAAAGTACATCCTGATGGAGTGTGGGAGGGGGGTGAAGGGTCTGGTGGAGGGTCTGGTGGAGGGCGGTTGCCCGCCGGGACTGATGCTCATCGACGACGGATGGCAATCCATTTTCCACGATGATGACCCATCTTTGTCGTCGCTACTGTTCCGCGAGGTCGGAGAAGATGAACATTACTTTTTTTCCAATTGTTCGAACATTTTTACAAGGGTAGTATGGGAATTAAAACGGTAGATTTCAATGGAAAACTGGGGGTCTTTGTTTCACGGTCATAGTACAGGGGGGTCTTTGTAATTTATCCTATATAATATAAATAATATTATAAATAACATAAATAATATTATATATTTAATATAATATGTATACACATATATTTAATATATATAATCGGGGTTGGGTGGGGAGTGGACTTTACTCTTCATCCTCAATAGGCATTCTTATTAATTTCATCACCACTTTGTCCTTGCTAAGGCAATCTCCATCCCATCCCCGCCTGATCGGGGAGGCCGTGTACTTGGCGGGGATGGAGAAAATCATGGTTTTCAAAACTAGACTAGACCAGATGGTCAGATCAGAATAACTGGGTGATCAGTAGAACCGTTATTTCGCCAAAAAACGTTGATTTGGTCAACAAACTGTTGACCCGGGTGGTCAAATCGTTTGAACCGTCCAATGGTTTTGGCTATTTTTTATTTTTTTATTAGAATGGGCCATCCATTTTGTTCGAATGGTTGGACCGTTCGACCTAGGAATTAGACCCCTTATCGGTTTGTTGTTCGGTTCAGTTTTAAAAACCTTGGAGAAAATTGTTATTCCTACCTCGGGTCATGTAACACCATATGATGTGACGGTTTCGGGTCACGTATCATTTTTTTGGCTAAGTACCTCGTCATCCCATCTGCTCCCAGGTGGCCGATGACTTAGAGGCTGAAGTGGAGCTCCCTGGTGTCGCGCAACCTGGCTGCTCCCTGCAGGAGATGATCTGCTCATCTTTATAGACGGCGGTAACTGGTTACCTACAAGAACTGAATTAGAGAACCCGGGGTGGCTTACAATCATCAAGAAATAAACTTTAGAAAAAACCATCTAGGCTTTGTTTGGATTTGGGGACAGAATCGGAAATGCATATGATTGTGAAAAAGAAAAAATAATGAAACTACTCTTATGCAGATGCAGTCTTGCCGATTCCAAAATCCGGTGTGTTGGCTACAACCTACAAATATGCAGTTCTCCAAAATTCCAAATTCCCTCCGACTTCTTTTTCACGTAACGTGTTTCCATTTCCTCCCGAATCCAAACACATCCTTAGATAATTATGCGGAGAACGGGGAAAGAGATATGGGTTGAAAACTTCTCATTTTCTTTCGTTTTTTGGTTTCCTGCAGGACCACCGGAGTTGAAGATGAAGTTCTCAGACTTGAGAAATGATTTGAAAAGTCTGGAAATAGTGCTCCTACAGTTGGATTTCTATAACCATTAGATTCACATTGAAATAGTTAAAGGGATGATTTAGAATCGGATATTTGACTTTGACTTTCGAGAACTCTTGGGCCCATCCCCATTTAATGTGGTTGTGAATGGTACTATCATATGAAGTTCTCTCACTCCTTTAGCAAGAAGATTGAGGACGTCCCCTTTTCCAGTTTGCCTTTCACACCATCAAACTATATTGACCCAATTTCACAAAAGTTGAATTTATGTTTAAAACAAGCAGCAGATATCAACAACATCAAACCAGGTGGAGTGGGACTGTGGGAGGACTGGAATAGAAGCTATTCTTATGCTTTACGTCTCACCGGTGACCACTAAATAAAATACTCCCTAATCAAGGGCGCCGATTGCTCCTATAATTGGCGCCCAAAGAAAGCTCTATCAATTTAGCCACGTGGAAAGCTAATTGTTAAGCTAAATTTTACCTCTTAACTCGTAAGAAAGAGGCAACATGAACAAATTAACACGCATGGCGTATTCCTAGCTATAACGTTAGCACTTGGGTTGCCACATGTGAGTAGTGAAAAGTGAAAAGTGATCAGATGGGCAGTGTAGGAAATGTGTCCCTCCCCACCCAATCAAAAAACAAGGCAAAGTTAACCAAATTCAGTATCACTTTCTAAATTCTAACTGCAAGTGATTGTTACAAGAGTTTCTTAATGATAAATTGCTCGATTTGCAAGGGTTTTGACATGAGTGACTGAAGAAAACTTTCTATTAATGGAAGAAGAATTAATTTGGATTTTGGACGAATAGGAATCTCTACAAAGCATGGGTAGACTTAGATGACAATCTTCTTCATGTGTGAAAGACAGACTCGAAAAACTTGGAATTCAATTGTTAGAAAGAGATCAATTGGAAGCAATTCCCAGCACCCATCCGTCAAATTTGTCCATATATCGGTACAGACAGTTGGACCCTCCAATTTTCTGAGCAAGCATGACAATTCAATGATTCTCAACCTCTCAAAAAGTCACCTCTGTATTCCAGTATTTAGGTTTTAATCCATTGCTGAAGAGAAATCCACGTCACCAAGTTTACCTTTTTTTCAGCCTTCGTTTCCTTCTCAGAATCATATCTACCCCTAGAAATTTCCAGACAACACCTCTCACAGCTTTTGATGATAGCTCCGATGACCCTGATGCTCAATTGCCTAACCTAAATCTTTTATGCTTCCATGGCTCGAAAACTGAACTAGTTAAGCAATTAATCCAGGCATACAATTAATATACATTCTTCATCTGGTTCATACAAGTATATAAATGAAAACGAGCAAATTAAAGAACTTAGATATAATTAAATAGATATATAATTTCCTCCTTTTTCCTTTTTCATCTTGTGTGTGTGTATGTTGGGTGG